TGGGAAGAAGGGAGGGGTGGGGGGAAGGTGTGTTAAGATTTTTTTAATTTATTTCTCATTATCCTACTCTGATTTGATTGGTAATAATTTAATTAATAAATTAAATTAATTTTCCCCAAGTTGAGTCTGGTCTGCCCGTGATAGTAATTTCTGAGTGATCTCCCTGTCCTTACCTCACCTCACGAACCTTTTGTTAGATTTTCTCTCCCCTGTCCAGCTGAGGAGGGGAGCGATAGAGCGGCTGTGGTGGGCACCTGGCCTCCAGCCAAGGTCAACCCGCTGCAATTATTCATATGCATGACTAATCCCTCTCTAAATCCTGTTAAGCTCTTTTCCCAGGCCATGGCATATGACAGCTAGCTCAGAGATTCATGACCTGTTCTGTAGAAAAGAAAAATCTTTTTAGTTCTGTTGGCCTATTTTCTGATCTTAGGTACGTTCCTGTCAGTTTAGAATAACTGTGCATAAATCAATGAATTTCTCTGATTGCATAGCAGCAAAAAGTAGGTCAGATTTTGGCTCATTGCATTCTTAATTTAATTTGGCATCAAATGAGAAATAAAATTTTACCGATCCTACCTTCAGTATTTGTTATTTTCAGACCCCTTGTGTCTGCCTCTTGTGCCCATTTTATAGAAAAATATTGCCTTATTTTAATCTGTGAAACAGTCAAGGCTTCACATAATTTGCTTCTTAAAAGCCTATATGCATTAAATTCTTGTTGTAGATTCCCTTGTATTGTGCTAGATCACAGCTATCAGTATGGTTGAAATGAAAGGTACCTTTTACACATGGGGATGACAAACTGTTGAGTGGAAGTGGGAATATGGGAAGCGGACGTCATCATTTATATATAAGAACTTTCAATGGAGGTCCCTCTTTACCGCTGTTGCTCTTTCTTGAACTGTACCACAACTGCATAAAAAGAGCAGATCAGAGAGTACAGAACTTAGAAATTGCTTTTGGTACCAGTAATTAATTAAGTAGAGGCTCAGGTAGAACTGCAATATGAATAAGTACACAGTACTTGTGCAAAAAACCTACTGGTTCGCCACCTCCAAAACGTATGGGACCAGCATTATAGAATCATCGAATCGTTTAGGTTGGAAAAGAGCTTTAAGATCATCCAGTCCAACCATTAACCTACACTACCAACTCCACCACTAAACCAATTAAGGGGAGAGTAGCAATTTCATGTTTCCTGGCTTGGTGGCTGGATTCTTTTTTAATGAAAGTAAAACTAGGAATCATTAAGGTTGGAAAGGACCTCTAAGATCATCAGTCCAACCATCAACCCAACACCCCCATGCCCACTAACCCATGTCCCCAATTGCCATGTCTACCCGTTTTTTGAACACCTGCAGGGATGGGGACTCCACCCCCTCTCTGGGCTTTCTCTCTTTCCGGGAAGAATTTTTTCCTACTATCCAATCTAAACCTCCCCTGACGCAGCTTGAGGCCATTTCCTCTCATCCTATCGCTAACTACTTGGGAGAAGAGCCCAACACCCACCTCACTGCACCCTCCTGTCAGGAGCTGCAGAGCGATAAGGTCTCCCGTCAGCCTCCTCTTCTCCAGGCTGAACAAAAAGACATGCACAAAGACATGCTAGTGTTTAAGAGCTTAAGGGCTGCTGACATCAACTTTAAAGTACAGCTTGTCTTTAAGGTCAGGTCTGAACACATCCACTTTCCAGTCTGACACCAGTTCACCAAACTGTCAGGAATCACCATCTTGGTCACCAGCAAAACAATTCTTTAAAATATTTCAAAAAATGCCTATGGAGCACTGCTAACATTCAGTGATACTTTCAGGACACCTGGGAAAATATTTTATTGTCAGGAAGCTTGTGGCCAGCAGGATGCAAACAAGATTTTTCTATGAAATAAATTGTGATAGCAATTAATTATAGTACAATAGAATATATAAAATACACACACAAATTGCATTTACTAGTTGTTATTGTCTATCTCCATCTACTGGCCAGAGTGGAGATCTGTGATGAAACATTGGGTGCATTTCTAGATGGGACCACTCTCTTTGCAGGGACAAATTTTTGGAGTCCTATGATAAAACTACAGTTTATGCAAATTGTATAATTTTAATAAGGAATTGTCACTTTCAACAAATTCAGTCTGTCTTAATCGTGGTGGAAATGTGCTGTTTGAAAATATTGAAGGTGAATATTTGAAAACCTTTTTCAAATATAATCTAACGAGCACAGTGCTAGTTGGAACTGAGGGTGCTAGAGGACTTCAGAAGGGTGTTGTATGACCTAGCAGAGAAAAGTGCTGGAAATAACATTGCCTACGAGAAGGATGAGGTGGCTAAAAAAAATTCTGTGACCTGATAAAGAGGGACTCTCTGGGAGGTAGACGTGAACCTCCTGAGTCTGAGAAGGACTTTGAAGGATTTTTTTGCGTTCCTCTGCTCCCCAACATGCCCTCTCCCTGTGACTGAGAAATGATGATGGCAGCTGAACTGTAGTATTGTGACAACACTGAGCATGGCTTACCCTAAATACCTTCACGGTTTTCTGCTATTCAGCCCTGATCTTCAAAAATATGGAGATGTTTGGGAATTATTTTTGGGAAGTGTTTTTGAGATGTGGGGATTTTAACAGTGATGGGTTTTATTGCGGCTTGTAGATCACTTCAAAAAGTTCTCAAGATGCCAGCAAGTATCTAACGCTAGCTTAAACTGAGTGTAAAACTAGTTGCAAGGCCTCTTATGTTGCCTCCGATAACACATGCTGAATCTTTGGTTTTTAGCTGGGTTTCCTATGGAGGTGAAGCCTGTGTGATAGCTTGTGTGTATGTGTGTGTGTCTCAGTAACTTCAGCATCTCTTGAGCGATGCTCTAGATTTTGTGAGATGATGAATCTAGGTCAAGGCCAAGGTGAGTGGAGGCTGGGCAAAGTCCAGGTTTGCAAATCTTCACAAGTTTGCTCCTAATAGCTTTGACATCCTCTGGTGAATCTGTAGAGTCAGAATTGCTGCTCTTACACTGCGCTGGGAGGTACAAAGGGAAAAGGGAGGGAAGCAGATAGTTTTGGATTAATTAGGACTGGACTGATTTGTCTCTTGTGGAGCATTTCCCCCAAATCCTCTTGGATATGAAACAAAGCATGTTAAAGGCAATGTTATAGACATAGTTTATCTATTAATTATGAAACACAGCTCAGCTATTGCTGAGGAAGTCTTTGATTTTATAGGCTGATTGTCCTTGGGGCTTCATCCTGTTTCTCATCCTAAAGTGCCGAAGTAAATAGCTGAACTGTTTTTAAGGAAGCAAAATGAGTGAGCTTTGGCTACATCTGCAAAAAAGGGTCATCTCTCACAGAGTCGGGGAAGAAGAGAGGTCTTCATTCAGCCCCTAAGAACTTGTTATTTTAATGCACATTTTGGGCATCAACATGTTTTGATACAATGTTAAATTCTCAATCTGTTTCTAGATTTGCTGCTTGAAAGAAATGTTTATATCAATTCTACTTTCTAGTCCTGAAAAGGTGGAAGGAATTTTTTAACTTTCTTACTAATTTCTTTCCTTTATAGATGCAATTTGCCTCCTATATCTGAGAAATACTTTACGGACGTTGGGGTAAAGACGGATGTCGTGACTGTCAATCCCAGTATAATTACTGAGAGGTCATTTCTGGTTTTTGTATTTTCATCTCCTATTGCTTTTCCAAATCTACGTTTCACTAAATTGTAACTGTTACAGAGAACTTTTTTCCCCAGTATTACTTTAAACTGATACTATGAATCATACATTTCATTCTGAATTGAAGTTATGCAGCATATAGAATCTGTAGCAACTTATAGAAGTGTGTTAAACACATAGGCCTGTACATTGATAACAGAAAGCGGGAAGCTGATGAGCTAAAATCCTAACAGCAGAGCCATGCTTCCCCTGGGAGTCCTGCACTGTGCTGGCAAGCCCCAGGCAAACGTATTGGACACATTAGGGTGGGAGCAACTGCTTTCCATCCTAAATGCTTAAATAAAGTAGGACACATAGTCATATGTTTTTTAAAAAATGCCAGTTAAACTTTGTAGCCAGGATTGACTAAGTGATTTTAATTTTAAATTTGTTAATACCTTAATGCCACCGGGCTGACAAGTTTGGGACCATGGGGCTAATTCCTGCTTTCCTTTCTTGCTGGGGGAACGTGTTTCTTTTCTTGAGCAACATAAAATCATTTGCTTGCATTGTGGATTTATTTTAAATGTTACAGTTAGTCATTTTAGAAATGTTTTTGCTCTGCTTTGGTATTTGCCACTTTTTATACAGTTCTGCACTGCATAGTGCACTATACAGCTAAGCAAACCTTGGAAAAATTACATACTTCTCATAATAAAATGAGAAGTGAGACATGATCAGAAATGTCTACAAAGTTTGTCCACTGTTTAATGAATGTATTGCCAAAAGAGGAGAGAAAATGTGTTTTTTTAATCCCCTGCATTTTTGTCCTACATTTCATACTGACACTTTAGCTACAAATCTAAATATATTCCCCTTTCAATTATGTCTGTATCAGAAACATTTCAATAAAAGCCCATTGGAGTTTTCTTGTCTGCTGGGTCCAGACTGAGTCCGCGCTGGTCTGACCATCACTCGCATCCTTTTCCTTTTAGATTTCATAAGCTGGAGAAATGGAGGAAACCCTTCTATGACGTGCTCCAGGTCTACGAGAACGCTTCCGTGCTCCTGCCAGCTTTCTACAACACTCGCAACACGGACGTCTCAATCCGGGTCAAATACGTCCTGGATGATTTTGAATCTCAGCAAGCCGTTTATTACTTTCATCCCCAGTATCTCATCAACGTCTCACGCTACTGGCTCGGCCAAGGGGTGCGGGCCAAGCGGATTAGCACGGGACTGATCCTCGTGACTGCTGCCCTGGAGCTCTGCGAAGAGGTGCACCTTTTTGGCTTTTGGGCCTTCCCCATGAACCCCTCAGGGATTTTTATAACTCACCACTACTATGACAATGTGAAACCTCGCCCTGGTTTTCATGCTATGCCCTCAGAAATCTTCAACTTCCTCCACATGCACAGCAAGGGGATCCTGAGGGTTCATACAGGGACCTGTAGCTGCTGTTGACAGGGACATTTCTTCCCCTGAGGAAAAAGTGTAACAGGAACTCGATGCCTGTGTATGATGTAGGAGGTTTTATTACACCCTGAGATTATGCAATAATTGTTTGATATAAATTTCCTCAAGGCATTGCATCCCGTAAGATCTAGGATACCAGCTTCTTTCCTGCTAGCAGAGTTGGGTCCGTAACAGTGTGGGAGAAGCAAAACTCCTCTGTCCCAGGGTTATACACTGTCCTGGAAAGCAAGTCAGATAAGAAGCACATTTCCAATAGGTTTAGGGATAAACAGAGCACATGAATATAGTTATCATTTCACTATGAAGAAAAGTACCAGACTTTTGAGGAGAATCAGTGGTGGACAATTTTAGCATAGACTGTAGGACTTTACATAGGTTTCTGAATCGAGCACCTTGGGCCATTGCCAGATTTTATTGAAAGCACTGTTCTCTGGCATTTGGGCTTTTGGAAATACTCTTTAGCATTTTGGTTTTAAAGGAAAGTAGATAACTTGAGGTCTTTGTTCTGGTATGTCACAAAGTATTGGTGAAAAATAGCAGATAGATGGAATAAACGCGATCACTTTATGAAAATTTTCAGCCAGGATGGAAGAGAATGTTAAACTCCCATTCACAGCAACAGGTAACAACGTTGATCATGGTGTGCAACTGTTTTAGAGCTTCTTTCTTCTTCCTTCTCATGTCTTATATTTCTGGTCTCCTCTGCTGATCACATTTTCTTTCTCGTTGTCTGTAATGCTCTCCTAGCTAACACATGAGCAATGTGTGTATTTCCTCCTAGAGTGACCATCTCAGCTTCAGATTGGAGTTCTTACTGAAGAAACATGCTCCTTCAGACTTCTGCAAGCTTTTCTTGGGCTAAATAGCAAGGAGATTGCAGTTATATTTTCTGAGTTGATTTTTTGGTTCAAATACCACAGCATAAGATAGAAAAAGGCTCTTTGATTTTTATGAAAGACTTTGTAAGAGTATCTGAATGTTGATTCGCTGTTGTGCAGGTCAAGTTAAATACTGTCAGGTATCTGTGATAAGTACTGGCAGGACATGAAGTTAAAATACAGTGAAGATACTTTGTGGCCTGGATTATGATGCTTATTTTAAAATTATGCATCTCAAGAGCCAGGAAATGTGAAATTACTACTCTACCCTTAACTGGTTTAGTGGTGGACTTGGTAGTGTTAGGTTAATGGTTGGAATGGATGATCTTAAAGGTCTTTTCCAACCCAAAATGATTCTATGATTCTATGTCAGATGTTTTAACGTGGCATTTTTTGTATGTTGAGAATGTTATTAGGATGGTAAAAGGGCTGGTGTATTCTTTAAAAAGTTACCGCTGTAACTCTGTCAGTTATGCCAGGCTTAATTTTTCACCTGATACAGTTAAGCTGGCAAAATCCTGATGCAGAAAAGATGCCGCATATTGCTGGAGTTTATTTTGGCTGCTGAACCGTGGTGTAGTAGGCTGCTGGTATATGCCCTTTCATGCTGGTATGACTGCGTACACAGGAGGGTGAGGTTTGCTGTTTCAGCTGTGCTGGCATAGGTAAATGAAGAGAGTTTCCTCGTAGAAGTTCTTAGTCTGAAGCACTTGGGCTGTTGTCCAGTGCCTTGTCTTGTCTTACTTAGATTACAAGATCTTTGATCAAGGATTTGGAGTTTAAAGTGCTAGTTCTATATGAGGGATACTTTTTTTTTGGGGGGGGGTTTTGGGGCGAGAGGGTTTAAATCCAAATCTGGACTTGGATTTTGATTTTGAAATGCATGAATGCACAAAGCTTCTTTTAAAAGCCTCTGTGCTATGCTGAGAGCTGCGAAAGTTGCTCACGCTACAGATAAAATGATTGAAAAGGAAACAAAGCACGATGGTCACCATTTCAAAAGTCCCTACTGACCAGCAGTGACTTGGACGGTATGTGAGAGTGTATTTCCTTAACTTTACACTAGCCTCCAGAGGTCTGATTACTTTAAAATCAACCCATATCCTTGAGAAAGGTGTCAGAGCTCGCTTGGGAAATACCAGCCAGGGGTAGGGGAAGGACCTGTGCTTAAGCTTTATATATTTGTGGTGGTGTGTGTTTGGTCTTAGAGTTATACCGTGTGTTAGTGAGCACCACCTCCTATCGGCTAGCTGTGAAATATGCAGCCCACTAAGAATGAACTTGTAGATTAAATGGTTTCCTTGATTTAATATGCAAAAGAGATCTTTGTCTTCGCTGTGTTTTGTATATTTATGTGCAAAGGGCTTTGATAATGAAACGCTGTAATGAAAGTGCTATTTAGAGAGCAATGTGACCCTGTGGGTTGGCCATCTTGCTGTGCATTAAGCTTTATGATATCAGTAATGATGCTGAAGCTGGTACCTAGAGCCCTTACTCCTTATTCTGCCTGAGTATGGGACTAGTAGTGACTTCAGTATTGCTTTGCTGTTGTGGCTTTGCTAAGGTTACCTTCTTTAGTAAGGGATTTTTCTTTACTGTGGTGATTGAAGTGAACGATAGCAACCGAAAGGAGTCTGACAAGTTGTGAAAGATACTTCAGAAAAGATGGGAAAGCACTTGAGAGTCATCCGTATGTTGGAAAGAAATGGTGCAAATCCCTCTTTTTAGTTGCAAAAATCCTTTTGGACTTTTTGGACAGACAGAAGTATAAGCAAAACTGTAATTACAGTTAACCTGTAATTACAGGGTCACAGACATTTCCTTTCCTTTGTTTGCTTCATATAAATGAGCAATGTCAATTCACCTAGGCTGTACTGCAATAAGTGCAGTTTTACTGTGTTTAGATTTTGAATGGTTATATATCTATAGCTACTATATTTTTTTAATGATTTTAAAATGTGTGTGCAGGATACTCGCACGTATGCACCAAAGGCCCAATCTTGCCACGTTTATCTGAAAAGAGCTCCCATTCAAGTGGATGGGTATTTTAATTGTATAGGGACTGCAGAAACAGGCCCAGACATGTCTGTGAAGGTGTACATAGGTGTATAGTTAGATATAAGGAGTGATTTGCAAGCCAGAAAGATACTTAAAGAAATATATATATAAAATAGTCCTTGAGATGAAATGCATGTTGCAACGTGTTTACTTTCCTATTCATTTTTCAGGTGTTGCTCAAAAAATGATTGAAAAACTCTGGCATTTGTCAGAAATGCTGGATGTGGAAGCTTTCAGATATTTTTTGGCCTCCTTATGTTGCACTGGGCGCTGGAAAATCAGATTCCTCCTGCTGTACCGCAGTGTCTGTGGGGCCGAGTAGAAATGGCGTGGTGGCACCTTGTAGGAGCAGGGTCTGAGGATGGATCCTACCTGCTGCTCTGTTCTCCGTAGGTAGCAAATAAATACTGCCCAGGAGATTTTAGCTACGCAGAGGCTACTACCCGCACAATGTCACCTTGGGGTGGGTGAGCCACCATTGACCAGCCTGAGCTTCTGCCTGTCCTGCTTAAACGTACGAAAAGAAGGGCTTTTGCAGAAAGAAGGACCCTCCTTGTTCTCTACCACCATTCTTTAGTGCACTCAGCATAAGAAAACACTCTTTTGACATCAAGAATTTGTCTGAGGTTGAGGCTATTTTGTTTTCCTTTCTCCCATGTGGTCAAAGCTCCAAATGTCCAATCTTAACCTTCTTTGAACAATGGGATTCCTGAGTGACAAAAAGTGACCATCAGGAAGCCATGTGTGTTTGCTGCACACTGTTACGGCAAGTAAAGGGCGTGCATAGCATGTCATGCTTTCCCACAGAAAAGGCTGTAGGCCTCAGAGAAATCCCCCGATACAAAAATCTGATCTGTCCGAGAAGAAATGCTGTCAGCTGTCTGGTACCACATCCTGAGCTCAGGCTGTAATCCTGGCTCTGTTGCTGAGGGGATGAAATCTGAGACAGGCAGAGAGAAAATTATAATATGATGGTTTAATCACTAACTCCCCATATTATTTAGGAGAATCTCTTAAGAAGTTCCTGAGATCTGCGTACACTGGCAATGCAAATTCAGTCGGAAAAACATAGCTAGGACTGCTTCTTCTTTATTGTCAGGTCAACAGAGGAGGCTTATGAATCTGCCAGTGCATTCATCAAAGGGAAGGAAGTATTTAGTTGAAATAGTTTAGCTGCTTGCTTTTGATTTATGAAATCCAACTTTGCTGTCGGACAGAATGGATTAAACGGTGATAGGGTCATTATAATATTTTAGCATATTTTCTGTGATTGCAACGGAGTTGGCAAAGGCAGCTCATGAATTGCAAAGGAAGAGCCCTGCTGCGGTAGCTCCTCCTGCTGCGGCCTCGGGGAGGAGAGGCACCATGGTGAGTAGGTCCGTGACCTCCTGGAAAAGCGGTGGAAAGGGAATATGGGAGATTGCAACCACCACTCTGGTCCAGAGCCTTTAACACTGTGGAGTAGCATGATCGTGATGATAGATGAAGCTTCACAGCTTGCAACAGCCAGGAGCAGCTCCCCTAGTCCTTGACAAAAGCTGCTCCCATGCAGCCTCAACTGATGATAAATGAAAGGTGATGTTCACTCGGGATGGTTGGATGTAGTAGACGGAAGGAAAATTGCAACCACCACTCTGGTCCAGAGCCTTTAACACTGTGGAGTAGCATGATCGTGATGATAGATGAAGCTTCACAGCTTGCAACAGCCAGGAGCAGCTCCCCTAGTCCTTGACAAAAGCTGCTCCCATGCAGCCTCAACTGATGATAAATGAAAGGTGATGTTCACTCGGGATGGTTGGATGTAGTAGACGGAAGGAAATCAACTCTAAGAATAGTCCACTCGGGGGGGGGGGTTCGGTGAATGAGTAGAAATGTTGCTCAGACCTTGAAGGCAAAACCAGTGGTGGGACGCAGGTACGTGGGCGGACTGCCCATGCTCAGCTTTACACAGCGGGAAGGAGCAATCCCTGGTTTGTGTGTAAGGGAAATTGGGGTGGATAAAACACCGAGGCGTGGAGCGAGAGGGAATCTGTCCTTTTTAATCTTCCTGGTGGCCTGGTGGCTTGTCAGCAAAGATCTGATTGTAGAGAGCACAAGCCTGGGCAGTGAAAATGGAGAGCTCTGAAATGGTCCTTTCCCCCATCTCGCTTGCATCCGAGCGTGCAGAGAACTTTGGAGCTTTTACACATATACGAAGAAGGAAACGGCAAAATTTGGCAACCCCTAAGGGCCAAATTCCCTGGGAAATTCTGGAGTAAGCTGAGG